GTATCAACTTTATTTTAGTTTCGATGCGAAACTGAGAGGGTATTAATTTTACCATGTGTTTATTTATTTTTTATTATTTTTTTTATCTGTTACTACTTTTATTCAGCTCTCATTGGATCGATTTTTCGTCAAAAGTTCACAGATCGTCTCTAGTTGAAGACATTGTCCTCAAAAATTAAAAAAATTTCTCTAGTTCCTCGTAAATGATGAAAATCACCCAAAAAATTACAATTTTTAACATCAGTAGATTTTGAAATTTTTTTCGTTTTTTTTTCTAAAAAGTGCCATAATTTATTAGAAAATGAACAAATTAAAATTTTTTTATATTCAAATCTTAAGTAATTATTTTTTATTTGATTTAATATTTTTGAAAACCTGCTTTTTACCTGCCCACANAAGTAATTATTTTTTATTTGATTTAATATTTTTGAAAACCTGCTTTTTACCTGCCCACAGGAGAGTATTCAAATTAGCAACTTTTTTACAAAACTTAACTTTTCCAACTTAAATTTTTAAAATGTTTCGGAAATACCGCGTCCTTTAAACATATATCAAATTAAAGGTTATATTATGTATTATAAGTTAAAAAAAAAAAATTATACCGACAACCTATCCTATACATGAAAATGGCCGCCGAAATTTAACACAAAATATAATATTTGTGTAAAAAATCAATATTATTTTGGTACTTAAAACTGTCATAACTTTTTGAAAAATCAACGAATCAATATAATTTTTTTTTTATATTGAAACCTTAGGTATTTTCCTTTCATTTGATATAAATTATATAACATTTGAAACCTGTCTTCTTTATGCAAATGGCTGCCGTATTTAAAAAACATGCTATTTTTGTGTTCAAATTTTATTTTTGTTTTGTTTATTTTAAAATACTTTCTAAGGGTTTGCCATGGTAATGAGTCTACCAATTANAATGGCTGCCGTATTTAAAAAACACGCTATTTTTGTGTTCAAATTTTATCTTTGTTTTGTTTATTTTAAAATACTTTCTAAGGGTTTGCCATAGTAATGAGTCTACCAATTATTTATAAAATTTACATGAATCTGACTTACATTAAATATAAATTTATACTTATTTTGATAATTTTGCCTCCTCAAAGTTAAAAAAAGTTGCTTTGAATTTATGAACTATCTTAAATTGTCATTTTTAGCTAATATTGGTGTAATTCAAGGTGACTGCGTATAATATAATACAGTTTTATACGCTTGGGGTACAAAATTCGAACCCTCTTTGTCAAACCAACTTTATTTGCATTTTTTCTTGATTATTTTTTGAGGTGAAAAAAAAATCAAAGTTCGTTTGATTTTTATCTCATTTAAATTAAATAACTTTAATAAATATCAATAATCCCATCACTGTAGTCTCCCCTCTTGAGAACAAATTANTTAATAAATATCAATAATCCCATCACTGTAGTCTACCCTCTTGAGAACAAATTTCTTAAATAATCCGTGCAAAATGACATTTTTAACTTATTTTTTTGATCTTTTAAAGCTGATTTTTTATGAAAGATTATAATTTAAAATTGTTAAACTTTTAAACACTATTCTAGCTTAACTTGCAAGTTAAGATTTTATCATTAAACAGAAAATTTTATGAGAAATAAAAAAATTATTTTTTAGATTGATATGTGATCAGGATTACATATTAATAGATATTTATTCATATATTTACTTATAAATCAAAAAACTATTAATCAGGATTAATGAAGGAAATAGGAGTTAATTTTGCTTTTGGAATAATCCTTAAATTTCTTAAAACCTACAGATTTGCATCGAAGCGTTTTTTATGATAGTGATTTTTCTATACTTGTTCCAACTATGCCATGCTCACACTATGAATTGAATGGTTTATGATAAACCGATCACTCTGTATAAAACTCATGCTGTAATAGAAATAAACACCTATGAAAATGATGATAGTTTTGAGCATATACTATTATAAAAGATGTTTATGATTAATAATAAATTTTTGATTAAACTAAGAAAAGCTAAGGAGAAGATGAATGCGGAGATTGTGATTTTATTGAAATTCTAGCACCTTCACTTCTTCAAAATTATTTAGTTGAATATAATTTACTGTATGAGAGAAAAGACGGTAAAATTTTTTTTGTTGTTTCTAGACCAATGTAAAAGGAAGTAATAACAATTCTAAATATTATAATTATTTTAGTAGAAATTTAGTGTTCAGCGTTAAATCAATCAATCTGTATGTATTTTTACCTATAAGTCTAATTATTTTATAGACTTTTCTTAATAAATCGATTAAAAATAATATTTTTTTAGATAATTTTTGTAGAATATTCACAGTACACTAATATGTACAAACATGTTCATCATTAACTTATTTTAGAATACAACATTACGGATGTCATATTATCAATCGATGTTATCAAGTAAAAATAAAATATTTCAAAGTATTATAAAATCTATCCAACCAGACCAAAATCAAGGAAGTAATACTGAGTTCGTTCAGACGATGGCTGATTTAAATGCAAGGTTTTCTAGAGTAACACATGATTGTCAACAATGGGATACGGTAAATTTTATTGAAATAGTCATCTCTCCTATATTATATGTTTTTTGTCAACAGTTAAAAATCTAAAATAAAATACTTTGTATTATTCTATATTTCATTAATAGAAAACAAAGTTTTGATTTTTCTTTTTTTTGCCTTACACAGTAAAGATTAATTCTATTCTCTGCATTAAAATATAATTTTCTGGCGTCTTTCTAAAAACTTCAGTGGTTTACTTAGAGTAATAATAAAAATTAACGATAACTAGTATATCTAGTAAACCACATCTCATAATCTTATTTAAATAGTTCTTAATTATTTAAATATAAATAAATTATGATGCCCGGCGTATTGATAAAATTTGGTGCCATTACATTAAATAAATTGTTAAAAAAAAATTGTAGACATTTAAAAAAAAAATCGAACTTTGAGATTGTAATCGTAATTATAATTCATAATTATAGAAAATAAAACAAACTCTGCAGTGTTGGCACAATTTCATAGAAGTAGAAAAAGTTATACAAGAATGGATTGAAACGTGTGAGCGTATATTTTTAGAAGAACAAAATAATTCTAGACAAATTTTAGAATCTCAAAAGGTAAACATTAAATATTTATTCTAAACTTTGTTTGGATTTTAATTTTATATTTCTTCAGGCCTACCTTGAGTATTCTAATAATAATAAATGGATGAATGATTTACAAATAGTAGAAAAAGAACTTTTACGATGTATACCAGCTATGGAACAAGAAAACGTTAGACTCCGAGCAGAGGGTTTAAAATTGAAACTCAAAGTATATATTTCAATAAACAACTTCTGTGATTAAAAAAAATTTCTTTTATATTTTTTTTAATAACGTCTACACTTGTAGATTAAATTAACAGCGAATGAAAGTTNTATATTTTTTTTAATAACGTCTACACTTGTAGATTAAATTAACAACCAATGAAAGTCTACTATATGATAACATTAAAATATTAAAAATTTCATTTTAAATTTGTATTTTTAAATAATAAAAACTTATTTTTTGTTTTAATTTAATATAATTATTAGTGAACGTTGATTTATAATTGTTATTATATTTTCTTTTTTACTATAGTTTAATTATTTGTTATATAGAATTATCAAGGTATGATTCCAAATTATATAGCAAGAATTGAATTTAAGTTGAACGAAGTTTCTTATAATCATTGCATGAAAGAGGCAGAAAAGGAGCTCAATTTAGAAAATGTAATGCTTAATAAAAGTAACGACATTAATATGTTAATCAATCGGAACAAAGTATAATAAATAATAACGACTTGAAGCTTTACGACCTAACTAAAAATGTATTAACTTTTTTCAGGAATATATTGAAAATAATTCAATAATAAAGGAGATAAAATCAAATGTTAGTAATATGAAGTGTATCATTAGTAATATAAAAGATGCGTCTCTTGAATCAAAATTAAATAATTATGTTCATTATTTTGAACAATTGCAATCTAAGTTTGCCGGAATTAGACAAAAGTGTTCTGAAATACCAAATAAAATTCAAAATTATAAGATAAAATATAACAATTTAAATCAATGGATGGACGCAGTCGATGAAAGTGTGGAGAAATTACTTGAATTTCCATTAAATGACGATGATCTTTATAGAGAAAAAACATTATTTCAGGTAATTACGTCATTTTTAATTATTTCAATAATTTAGTTCAAAACATCATCAATCTGTTCAAATAGGAAATTTGTCGTGAAGTTGATAATAAACGTGATGATATAAAATGGATGGTTCAAGTGCTTGATAATTTATTACCCTTTATACCAAGTAATCAACAACAATTAGAACAAAATAAATTGGAATGCTTAGTTTGCAGGTATAAAAAAATTATACCAATTATAGATACTACCATATCTAAAGCAGAGTATTACTCAAAATGTTTTATGTATAGAAAAGACATAAAAAAAGTGAGAATTCGCTAGTTATTAAAAATAATAAAAATTTTTATTTTTTAATTTTGTTTTCGTTTTTTTTTTAGATTAATCAAGTATTAGATGAATTAATACATTATCATCCAAATTTTAGTGTTGAAAACTTTGATAAACTAAATGAAATTGTTGTAAATCAAGAAAATATCGTATCAGAACTGGAAAAATACCGCAGTAGAGTTATGTCATTAATACAAAAAGGAAAAATTTTATCTAAATCTCTACATTCTTCTCAAGATTTTGTTCCTCAACTTATAACTCAGTTAGAAACAAAGTGGTCTTGTACTTATAATGATTGTTTAGATAAATGTAGTACATTAAAAAATTCACAAAAACTTATGATTGAGTACATTGAAATAAAAAATAAAATATTAGAAATTTTGAAAACTGCTGAAAACGAATTAAAACCCATACATGGAAGTGATAAAAACAACTCAAAAGAAATAGCTTTACTATTAAGAAGTAAACAAGAATTGTGTCTTTCTCTTCGGGATACAACCGAAACTTTATTGGCAAGGTTAAAGGATATATCAAAACATTTTCACATTCCAGAAATTTCCTTTAATCTTAAAAACGATGTAAGATATTACCCTAAATATATCAATTATTTACATACTAATAGTTGTAATTCACTTTTTATTTGTAATGTTTGGATGCATTTCATTTGAAGTGTCTATAGATTTTGTGTTTGACTTTCATGTTTTGAGTAAAATAATAAAATTGTCATTTATATCAATTAGCCTGTAAATGTAATAAGTTGTATTATTTAAGTGTCTTAATAAATAAAAAGGCAGACAGATATTTAGAAAACGGTAATTTTTGGTCTAAGAAGTTTATTTTATTTTATAAGTTAATTTTTTTTCATAAAGTTTAAGAACGATCTTTTAGAAAAATTTATCGCAAGTTGATATACTATATTCTCTATCAAAATTTTATTAAAATATGTACTAATAGAATTTTGTTAAATAGGTCAGTTTAATTGAATGTCAACTGTTAAATACGATACAANTCAGTTTAATTGAATGTCAACTGTTAAATACAACACAGAGTGTAACTCAAGAAACTCAAAGACTAGAAAATGTATCCATGAAACTATGTGAGTTAGATTCTGGGTTAAGTAAAATACATGTTTGGTCCGTAGAATCAGCTCCAGCAGACATTCAAAGAGTACAAAAAGATCAATCAAATCCAGAATTAATGGCTCGTGATATTGGCAAAGTTCAAAACGAATTACAAAAAAAACGAGATAGTTTAGATCGCCTTACAGCAGACTTGCAAACTTTTGAAAACGGTAATTAGTGTTAATAATTTATTTATTTTTGTGTGATACTTGATTTTATCTAAATATTTTTATTTAGAAAATGAAACAAATGATACACAGAGGCTTAGACAAGATTTAGATGACGTAAGAAAATCGATCTTAAACTTAGAAAGTAACACAAACCTACAAAATCAAAAAATCAACGATCATCTAAACGAGTGGCAACAGCACAAATCTAAACTTGATGAAATACGTTCTTGGATAGATAAAACGGAAGAATATATTAGTGTTGATGATTCTCAACCATTTTGTATTAAAAAAATGAACGAAATATTAAAAAATGCTGAAGTAAGATTTTAGTAAAAAAATATTCTTACTTCAAACTAATACTTGAGTTATATATTTTAGATGATAAATTTAGAATGTAATAATAAGCTTGAAGAATTGAAAGAAATAGCATCAATTAATACAACTGCGGTTATATTAAATGAAGTTGACGCTATTCAGTCTCGTTGTAAATCTGTGCAATCTAATTTAGTTCAAAAAAGTACTCGCTTACAAAGACTTGTTACAAATTGGAATAATGTAAATAATAAAGCTCAAAAAGTTGAAAGTATATTAAATCAGCCTGCATTATGTGAATTAGAAATAGAAACAATTTATGAGTCGTTTAGTGAAGATGATCTCAGCAAAAAAATATTGGAATATAAGGTAATTTGTTATTTCATACAAATAAAAACATTAATTGAATTTCACGTACTTAAAATATTTTTTTATTTTTAAGGCTTTAATTCAAGAACTTAATGAGTGTCAAAGTGAATTATCTAGTATAATTCAAATTCTAAACAGTATTAATCAAAACTTTTCTCATGAAACTACAAATAATTTGAGGGAAAAATTATTGAATATGAAATCAAAGAGTCATAAATTATTAAAAGAAATACATGAGAAAATACAAAAAATGTCTAATATTTTAGTAGCAAAGTAAGTATCATCTATATAAATTTATAATGTAAATGAGTTTTTGAATATTCCAAATACGATGATACCCAATATTTTAAATTAAAACTTAAATTAATTTTCAGAAAAGAGAACTGTAATAAGCTTGATTCATTTTGTGAATGGGTGACTGAAATGGATTCAAAAATAAGTACATGTAATGTTGTTCAATGTAATGCAATAGAAAACACATTAAAAAAACTTCACATGCTTATAGAGGAGCATATAGAAAATCAAGATGTTTTACTCACTATTACGAAAAACTTAGTTCAACCTGATGAAGTCATTCAACTAGACCAAACAACGGCTAAATTTAAAGTTTGTATTGGTTTTTGTTTTATGTCAAATACTTTTAGTAAAGTAAAAACTATTTTTCAGAATCTTCAAGATATTTTGCACAAAAAAAAACTGGTGTTAGAAAAAATTAATGAATTCTTTAATTGGAATACAACTATTAAAGCCCAATTGGATCATTTGGAGTTTAAAATTGATAGTAATCAAGTAGTTGTCAACATATTCGAAGAAGTCAATGATAGTGTTAATGAATTAAAGCAATGGAGAAACAATTGGAATTCAATTGAAAACTTACTTAACCAAAGTAATACAACAGTTGCTGACTTATCCTTTGACGATTGTTTCAGATATTGTGAGGGAAAAATAAGCCAATTAAAGTAAATAAAATATAGTAACTATAATATATAACTATTAAAATTTAATTTAATTTAATTTTTTAGCGAAAAAATCAGGATTAAAGAAGAACATGAACAAAAAATTGAGCAATGTCAATCTGTTATAATAAATTTAAGTAAAAGTATAAACGATACAATTGATAAAGTAGAAAAAGACATAGTTGATCTATTGTTCTCCGTGAAACATTTCTCTGATATTCAATCTGTATTATCAAATTTACAAAATTTAATTGATATAAATTCATTAGATAATAGTTTAGAGAGTCTAGAAACTGAGATTAGATTGTTTATTGAATTAGATAAATCAAAATCAGCTGAAATTCAATGTAATATTGTAGAACCAAAAACTAAATTAAGTCAATTAAAATCTAAGTTAGTTAACATATTTAACAATTTATCTAAAATACTTGAAAATTGGCAAATTTGTTCATTAATAAGTGATAAACTCAAATCATCTCAAATAAATTGTAAGGAAGTTTTAAAATCTATTGATTATCCAAATGATGTTTCTGAAGCAAAATACGTCGAAGAAAAATTTAATAGTGTTATAACAATTATTAATTCTTTAGAAAACGATGTAATTTTAATGAAAAATGCAATCGAGTACCTTAAATTGGAAACTCAAAGTGTAGTTAATTTTAATGTAGAGTATGCACTACAAATATATCAAAATAGTATTGAAGATTGGGGAAAATATTGTGCTGAAATAAAGATTCAAACGGAAAATATAAATTCCCAGCATGTGATTTGGAAACAAATTAACCAAAATAAAGAAATTATTATGCAATGGTTATCTGATGTAAATATCGAGCTTTTAGATTGTACATCTAATTTTGAAGATATCGATAGGATAAAACTTAAACTTGCTAAATATTTTGAAAGTAAAAAGGCCAATTTGGAATTGAAGAATAGTATTAAAGAAAAAATAAAAATACTTGAAAAACTAACTGGTAATAAATCAATTATAACATTAAATACATTATCCTTATTATTAAATGATCAATTTAATGAAGTTGATAGTGTTGCAAATAATTTAGGAGATTTAATTCAAATGTATTCTAAACAAGAAGAAGTAATTCGTACCGAAATAAAAAAGCAAACGCTGCAATTAAATCAAATCCGAGAAATCATAACAAAATCTGATGATTTGAACAGTGATTTAGATACTTTATTAGTTAATTTGAAATCTTGTTCCAATTGCAAAAATCAACTCATAAAATTAAATTTAAGTATTGATACAGTTAATCGCACAGTAACAGAAGTTAGTGATTCATTTCCCGTCATCACAGAGTCAAGTACCTTTAAAGACTTAAAAAGTTTACAAAACCGATATAATAATGTTGTTCAACAGGCTGATAAAGTGGAAGCAAAATTAATTACTTATATGAAAAAATATTTAGAAGATGATTTAAATAATGTAAAACAAGGTGTACAAAGTATAAATGAAAAATTAAGCTGGATAAATCCAGAAGACGAAATACAAAAAGAACAATTATTAATTAAACTACAATCTATAGAAGAAATAAAAAATAATATTGAATATTTTAGAGAGCAGATTAGTAAAGTGAATATTATTTTGAGTCATTTAAATAATTCGTCATCTGATTATAATTTAGAAAGTTTATCAAGTAGCAATGAAATTTTAAACTCTAACATAGAAAATACGGTAACAGAACTGAATAAAAGAGAAGAAGAACTTCAAGATACTATTAGTGTATGGGATCAATGTGAAAATACTCTTAAACAAATCGAACCAATTTTAAATATCCTTGAAAAATCGATAAAAAAATATCAAGAAGAGCCTTTAGTAATAAATGAATTAGAAACAAACCAATGTAAAATTTCTGAACTTAAACCTGAAACAGAAAATTTGAAACAATTATTGAATAGTTTTTCACTACTAACAAAAAAACTTAAAAGTATTCATACAAAGAATTTAATGGATAGTCGTTTACAAAAAATTAAAAATAGAGTAGAATTATGTAATAAAAAAATTTCTGAAATAACTGACAAGGTTATTTCTGTAAAAAATTTAAATGGTAATTTTAATATTTTACATAGAACAATTGAATCCTCAATAGAACAATTAAATAGTCGAATCGGTGATATTGAATCAAAGCAAAGTGAAAAAAGAAAATCTATTCCTTGTGTACAGTCAGATTTAAATGATCTAAATATGATAAATAAACAACAAGATGGTATAAAAAATGATATCAATGAAATTTCAATTATATCTGATGAAATGTCTCCTAACATAACGATTGAAAATCGAGATGAAATAAGAACAAAATTGAAAAAGTTACGATTTGCGTTAGAAACATTGAACAAAAAATGCGGAGATTTGACAAAAAAATTTGAAAATATTTTAGTTTATAAATCATCTTTTGATGAATGCTGTGCTCAAGTGGAAAAGTGGCTGATTGAAGCCAATAAAAGATTAACAATTTATAAATCTTTTGAGAAAACTACTATTAATGATAAAAAAACTAATCTCGATAATTTAAGACAATTTTGCCATGATTTAAAAATTTTCAAAGATGTTATGAACCAATTAAAAGACAAAGAATCCGAACTGGATGAACAAGACACAAATTTAAAAGTAAAAAACTTCTTTGCAAATTATGAATCGTTGTCATTGCAAATTTATCAGCAGATTAATTTAAATGAAAATATCCTGAAGAATCATGAGTTATATAACACTAATATTGAAACATTTAAAAAATTCCAACGAGAACTCTTTGATGGGAAAGTTTTAACTGACGCTAAGGATTTTAATGTACAACTCGATTTACTAACTAAAATAATTGATAATAGATCTAAAGGTGATGAAATCATAGAAAAATGTAAAAGTGCTCATGATGTAGTTTTAAAAGAAACGGATGGCAATGGCAAAAATTTAATTAGAAATGAAATGGACAAGTTAAAAAATGATTGGCAAAATTTAATGACACAATGTCAAATTAATTTTGAAACTTTAAGTAAAAGAAATAACCAGTCAAAAGAAATGTTATTACAAATCGAAACAATCGAACATTTTTTAAAATCTATTGATAATCAAGTAAATGACAGAAGTTTGAAAAATAGTTTAGAAAGCAAAAAAAAATATTTAAAGAAATTGAAGTCATTCGATGAAAGTATATTACAGAAACACGAAGATATAATTAAAATAGAATCTTTATTATCTGAACTCACGCCTGAAATAAATAATGCTCTTATAAATCTGATGACAAATTATCAGTCAGTAAAAACAAAAACCAAGGTAATGAAACTTTAATAACATATTGAAGCTTAGTTTTTATTTTTATTTAAATTATTTTTTAATCTTAAGTTTTTAATTACTCAGCTTTTTACTTTAATGTATATTTATACATAATATGTATCATTTAAAATAGGAATGCATTTTAAAATATGAAAACTATGTTCGAGACCATTTTCAATTTGAAATTAATTATAAAGAGTTAAACAAATTATTGAAGCATTTATCAGATGAAATAACAGAAAATTGTGAAATAGTAGGTGACTTAACTTTATTGCAAGTAAGTAACTATTGTTATTATTATTTCAGTGTAATACAATATTTGTGTTATTTAATGAATAATATATTTGTGTTAANTTTGTGTTATTTATTGAATAATATATTTGTATTAAGGAAAGGCAAAAAAAATTGTTAACATTATCAGACAAGAAATGTCAGCAAAATATTCAATATGATTCTTTAATTAATCAAGCAGAAAAGTTATATTCTCAGACATCTCCTGACGGAAGAGAAGTTATTAGGCAACAAATAAAGTAATCACAAGGATAGTAAATTATTTTTATAATGTATAAAGTATAATTATTTAATAGAATTATACGAAATGAATGGAAATCAACCTCAGAAAAATTGCAAGCTATTCTTACAAAATTCGAAAACTGTTTAATTCATTTTGCTGATTTTTCGATGTCTCAAGAACAATTATCAAAGTGGTTGAAAAACATCGAAGAAGCTATGCATCAACATACTGAAACAAAAGGAACATTGCAAGAGAAAAAAGCCCAACTTCAGGTTATTTAATATTTTTTTAATATCTGCTTATAGTTATTATATGAATAATATTCAAGATAAAACAGCTTTATTTTACATATTTAACAAAAATAACTATTTTATTCTTCAACTTTAAAAATCTATTAATTTTATCATATTTTTGTATAAAAACATATACATTAGAATATCGGTCTTTATGCATTAACTACAACATTTATCTGATCACCATTAGATTTTGGTTGAGTATACTCGTACGAAGATTTCTGACGTAGTACATTATAATTATTAGTAAAATTATTAGAAATGACGTGGTCAATTTTCATTCTATTTTTAATAAATAGAGTTTACTTTTTTATTTAGATTATTTTAGTTTCGATGCGAAGATGTGAAGATGAGAAGGTATTAGTTTTACTATGATGTGATTTTTTTTTTTTGTCACCACTTTTTCTTAGCTCCCACCGAATTGATTTCTTTCAACGATACGTGGAGGTAGTGACGAAAAATAACGATACGAGAATCATCCTCCGTAATCGGAATGAATACACTACATATCTCTTAATGAGAATAAAGTGTATTAATGTATAAGTTTTAATAGTAATTAGAATATATATATATATATTTAAAGGGACTTAAGTACGTAAACGTATCATGCATGAGGTATAGCCGTGTTTATGTGGGCGGGCATGACGGAGGGAACATTATACACGAGGCATATACGGCGGCAGAGGCGTCGGCTGTAGGAATATATAAATGAATATTAACATATACGTATATACGTATAAATATTAATATATATATTAATATTAGCGGTGGCGGTAGGAATATATAATCTTCGCATAATATCGCGGCACTTTTGCTGGCGTCGAAGACGCGATGTCCGGCGTGATCCTCGGGCGTCAATAGGTTAGCAGCGTAGATGACGACGGTGCGCGAGTGCGGATCAGTTTGTTGACGATGTTATTTTGACAATGGGAAGAAGACTACGGTATAGCGGCGGGACGTCGTCGGCCGTGCGGCACTTGCTGGACTTTGCACCG